GGGGGGGAGTGAGAGAGAGAGATAGAGAAGTGCATGTCTGTGTTGTTGTATACATCTTATTCTCAAACAGATACTACATGTACCGACCTGCGCTGTAATGTTGTTTATTAGTTTGAATAATAAATAAATTTTAATCCAATATCTGAGGAGGCCGGGATGGAAATTTGCAATAGCATAACATTACGTATTCATCCAGCAATAGTGGCTGGATTCCACTCAACAACGAACAATACCATTTTAATGTTAATGTTTCTGAAATACGCCGTTGGGCATAACATTACATTGTATTATGTGTATTTGGTTGTGACATATGATACTTTGAAAGTAAACATTTACATCCCTAACTTTAAATGGCAGCACATGTAAAATAGATCTGGACATGGTCTACCCAACACAAACAAAGGGGTGTGTGTACATGTGTATAAAACTATTTTAACAGTTTAGTATCCACTCATAACCTTGTTATCTGATCGGTGTTGCGATTTAAAAGTCTTTTTCATGAATTTCTCAATGAATTACTGTCTAAAGAAATTCTAAGTATATGAAGTAAATGTTCATGATAGAAAAGAAGCGGAAGACCACATAAATCTCAGGATAAATATATTTTAGTGAAGTATTTGTTCTTTTTCAACAGTATTTTTGTGTTTACTCTCAAAACTAAGGTCACGTTGGTTGGGCTTCCTTTACAATTTTCTTCTTGTAGATTTTTGTTTCTGATTTGACGGAACAGCACTATATATCGGTGAAAACGTTGATTGTAATGGGATACTGCTATACAATGTATACAGTATATATATAAGACAAGAATTGCATTATGAACTTTTAAACATAAAAAACGGTGATTTTACTAAAGAATACTGCAGGTCAGGTTCATTCATAACACGTGCAAGTTTATCACAAGGGTACATTGTTCATAAAATATCTTTAATAAAAAATGCTGCATGATCAAGTAGTAAAATACGTTTATCACTATACAATAGAGTTATTCATAAAACGTTTTTGGTAAAAGTTCATGTTCAATGTACCACTCCAACTCGTATATACCAATAATAGGTGCGGCGTTTAACGGAGAATTTACGCCAACCCTTAAAACCTCTAACAATAGTCTCTATACATCCGGATCTATCTATGAAATATTGCTGAATCTATCTATGAAATATTGCTGAATCTATCTATGAAATATTGCTGAATCTATCTATGAAATATTGCTGAATCTATCTATGAAATATTGCTGAATCTGTCCATGTGTAATCTTCTCTCTCTGTCATGTTTTATTTGATTGATTTTATTTTGTTTGACCTCTTGTTACACACTTTGTGTGTCAGAGCGTAAAAAAAAATCTTGAAATCTTGAATATGTCCATATATACGAACTATGACAGATTCTCTGGCCCCTGTGATTAGGACCACCTCAGTCAGTATGCATTGTGTACGTTCGTACAAACTTTGACAGATTTTCTGGTCCCTGTGATTAGGACCACCTCAGTCAGTATGCATTGTGTACGTTCGTACAAACTTTGACAGATTATCGGGCCCCTGTGATCATGACGTCCGCAGAGTCAGTATTTTGTCGACATTCGTACAAACTATGACAGATTATCGGGCCCCTATGATCATGACGTCCACAGAGTCAGTATTTACTTGACCTTACAATCTCAGGTTACAGTGTGTACATTCGTGACCAATACCGATCTTAAATACACAAACCCAATACTTTTAGCTGCACACTTGGCATTCGTCACACGTATTTTGGACAAATACCAGCGGTGTTTGAGTAGTGTTTGTAAAGGAAATAGATGGCTAGTTTTAAACTAGTAATTTGTTTATTGAACTCCGTTTTTATTTGAACATTTTCCAAATAACAGTCGTATCACGAACTCTTTCAAACCAGACACGATACGGATCAGACTTTGTTTTGAACGGTTTGGTTTGTTTGGTCTGTTTTTGTATTACGTTCTATTAGCAGTTATTAGTCATTAAGGGCGTGACAGGTTTTGATGATGGGGGAAAACCGGGGTACCTGGAGAAAAATCGCCGACCTTCGGAGAGTACCTGGCGACTACCCCACACATAGGTCTAGAACCCGCTACCAAGTGGTGTAGGGCTAGTGGTCGTAAAGACAGCCATACACATTAGCCACTCGGTTGTTGACAGAGATATATATTTGTAAATGTATAAAATTAACTTCAAATCGAATACAACCCTGCAGGTTTTGGGAAATAATGGGTCTGCTTTATCCCTTAGCACGTCATCGAAGGAGGCGACTAGCTTCAGCAGGTTCCCTTCTAAATCTTCTTTTTTTTATCTCCGTTTTCTTTTTGATGATTTCACTTTGTTTATTTTAAAACAGTTGTGAAACAAGTTTTCTAACAAATATTAATCACGCCTTTTGGCTCAGATGGTAGTTCGGAGAGGGTTTTAATGTGGCAGGACACCGGAGTACCCAGAGAAAACCTACGTCAATTCATTGGCAGTCATATTGACTAAAAGAGCCAATTAAAAGCCCTACAAGGCTTGATTTAGGATTTCGGTACTAAATGTATTAAAAGAGTTTAATAATTACAATTTATTTATCTTACAACAGTTGTGAAACAAGTGTTTTTAACTTCATATAATATTAATTACTCCTGTTGGCTCAGATGGTAGTTTGGAGAGGGTCTCGATGTGGGAGGACACCAGAGTACCCGGAGAAAACCCACGTTATATAATTAATACATCGGCAGTCATATTGACAAAAAGATCCATTTGAAAGCCCTACAAGGCTTGACTAAATATTTCGGTACTTAATGTACTAAAATAGTTCGGTTTAGAGAGAGAGACCAATGTGCTATCTACTTGATTTCCGACCAATAATGTATACAGACAGCCTTAGATTGTACATGTAACAGACGCAATGAGTCTATCTATTATCACGAGGATCAGATCTAACACAATCTGATCACCACCCACTCGGGGTTCTATTCGTAACAACTTTCGCGAATTTACATATGAATAGCGTACTGCTAAAAGTCAGGACCCGTTTTTCGTTTCTCAAAGCATGGCCAGCTTCACGATAAATAAAACAAACGTTCTTTTTATTGTTATTTTAAACGTAACGGATTGTCCTCGTTTCTTGACTTCAGAGGATTTTGCAACCCTTCACACAAATTATTTTGGTAATGATTTCGATATAGTGCTGTATGCTACAGGATAAAACTAAGCTTAATTCAGTTGTGATAATATGTGAATGGAAGTTGTTAAGTTCAGTAAGCTTGGCCTGAAATCATTGAGCAAACTGTAAAAGACACATGAATAATGTATGGGTTTGTTTGTTTATCTGTTTTGGCTTAATGGTCCCTCCACACAAAAATGTCATTTTGGGCCTGAAGCATTAAAAAAGAACTCAAATGGCGTTACACACCTCAAAAACAACTAAACTGTTAAAAATTATTTAATTGAACAAGCAGTATAAACGCTGTTATTGGGGTCTATTTCCGGTATATGATTAATACACACATCAAAAGTACCTTAAAGACTAAAACATGATTAATTGTACAAATAATTTCAACACTGTATTTTGTGAAAGGGGCCTATTTCCGGTATGTTATGAATACTGGTTGTCATGGAGACTCGTTTAAAATGTCTTTTATGTATTGTACATTGAAATAAATATCACGAATCTGTTTCATATTGTCTTACGGCAAGGCAGACATGGGGACAATGCTCGCTCCGTTGTGGATACACAGGGTTGGATAAGTGTCTGCCCCAGACTCGCTCCATTACACGCCTCCACGTCAATGTCATTAAATAATTCACATCTCTTTAAATGAACCGGATGTTTACTACACATGTTAACATACCGTGTTTAGTTCAACCTGATCGTGATCGCCTGCCGAACTACGCCGTGGTGAATGGAGCGGGCGTAAGATTACTCAAACAAATCAAAGGTCAACTGATTGTGTTTTCATGCAGACGTCATTTTGTAAAATAAGTCGCGCGCGAGGAAGACACTGGAATAGTTATACGAATTTTTTGTCATTTTTGAAATCGATGTTTAATTTTAAATAGACATATATTTTTTTGTAGATTGTCATAAAGCTATATTTAATTTACTGTAAATGAAAAAGCCGATTTCAACTTACGACATCTTGACAATTATGTAGAGACTTTTAAATATATTATTGGTCGTGTTGATAATTTAATCTTTTAATCACTGTATATAACAGTACTGATTACACTTTGCATATATTATAACTTTCTCTGAGTGGTGTTTTTCAGCGTTTTAGGACATGGAAACACAAATATTTCGAAAAAGCTGATACATGCCGGACACTCTGATATTGATAATAAATACCAAATTCCGAGGAAGCTAAAATCGTTCGTTTTAGTGAGTATAACTCTTATCACTGAATGAGATTCTGCTCGCGGAATCAACAAATGTGCTTGAAATCACGACCCATTTATGGGAAGCCTAGTTAGCTTAGTCAATTTAACACAAAATATCATCTTCTAAAGAAATGTTTACTAAAAACAATATCAAAATCAAAATAACAAAAATGTGGCTTTACATATAAATGATATACGAAATATCAACATAAAGCGAAAGACACAGAAATATTATTTTGTAAATGCTCAAAT